GCTCTTTTGATTGACGAGTTTGACCGGTTTGACTCTTCTGGTTGACGAGTTTGACTGATATTCATATAATTGCTCATATGTAGGACATCATCAATCTGTGAAAAAATCCGATAATGATCAAGAGGATGTAGAAATTGCACAGAACGAGCAAGGTATGATCTTACACTACACTTTATTTAGGCAGCCCGAGTTAGATTGGTTTGACTCTTTTGGTTGACGAGTTTGACCGGTTTGACTCTTCTGGTTGACGAGTTTGACTGATATTCATATAATTGTTCATATGTAGGACATCATCAATCTATGTAAAAATTCGATAATGATCAAGAGGATGTAGAATTTGCACAACACAAACAAGGTATGGACTGATAGGTGTTTATATGGTCAAAGTAGACAAACTGATTTGGGTTGACGAGTTTGACAAGTTTTACCATTTGGGTTGACGAGTTTGATTGATGTTCAGATAATTGGTCATATGCAGGAACTGATGATGAAGAAGATGATAGTGATGCGATTCCCCCTACTCCTAGAGCAGTATCTAATACTATTTTGGGTTCGACTGATGATGATGATGGAGGGATACTTGCTCAGGAAAATGAGGATGTAGAGGTCACTGCTGCTCCCAAGGATCTAGTTCAGAGTAGTAAACGACCGAAGAGGAAAATAAAGCCAACTCTTAAAAGTCCATATACTACTTTGGGCTCGACTGATCCACCCTCCAAAAAACGACGAGCAAAGAGAGAGACAAGAGGTAGAAAAGGAAAGAAGGACAAAGATCGTGTAGAATCTGCATTGGTCCCAGTACAAGAAGGTGTTTCATGCCCAGTACAAGAAGGTGCATTGGTGCTGATAGAATCCGCATTGGTGCCGATATCTGTAGCTCCTCCAGGTTATGTGTGGATCCCTCGACAGCCTATGGTCTATGACAATGTTGTGCGAGTTGAAAGTTTTATTGAGACAAACACAAGAAAAACGACTGCTCTCTTCAAGTTTATGCAAAAACCGAGACAAGAGAGGTTATGGATGTCGGGGCTGGAATATCTACGAACCCCACAGTTTTGGGAAGACCTTCTACAAGAAGGTGTATGGCTCAATGATCAAGTAAGTGTAAGTGTTTTCACATATAGTTTGATCAGTTTGACGAGTTTGACGACTGTTTGACCCATTTAACTGTTTGTTTTCACAACATATCGATGAAGCCATGTATGAAATCCGGAAACGTGTACCTCAAATTGAACCAAACAGCCAAAGGTACCTTCTTTGTGATGTGCAGTGTTGTGAATGCTTCAAATGGTGGAAATTGGGACAGAAAGATCTCGGCCTTCTTGGACAATACATGAGTGGGGAATTACCAATTGGCGGTGGTAACAAAAAATTAGACCAATACAAAAGGTTTTATCAGTGTGTTGAACATTCCGTCATAGGTAGATCCTAATGTAAGCGTCCATTGGGTCACTATTAGAGTGGACTACAAGAACACGGTGATTCAAGTGTATGACTGCAACCCGAGAATGAAGGAGGCGACAATTAAAGTGATTCATCACTTATGCAGAAGTATCCCAGAAGCCTTCATGATTAGCGGGACTGGTCGAATTGACGTTTCGACCTTGTTTTCCATCGAGCTATTCTCTAATCTACCTCAGAACGTTACAGAAAATGAATGCGGCATATACAACATCAAATATGCAGAGACACTCTACAGGAATGATCTCACCTTATTGGATAAGGTGAGCGACAAGGTGGTGTATTCTATTCGCGAAAAGATTGCATCTGATATATTCGCGAATGGTAAGGAAGTGTCTGTGTCTACCGAGGAAGGCTGAGATTCTTCTCCGTATTATTTCATTTGTTAAGAACCTCTTTAATTTATTAGTATTTTATTTCTTACGAACCTCTTTCGGATTAAGTTGTATCTAATCAGGTTTAAAACCTCTTTCGTATTAAGAACCTCTTTCGTAATAAGAACCTCTTTAATTTATTAGTATTTTATTTCTTAAGAACATCTTATTAATTACGTCAAACTCGTCAAATTCGTCAAACACGTCAAACTCGTCAAACTCTCTGATTTGGCGAATTTATCAATTCTGAACCATGAGCATATCAATAAACACCCCGTATAACAAATTTGATAGGTAAAAAAACAATCGGAGCTAACTGAATTGAACATCTTATTTTGTTTAGCAATGCATGTTCCCCCAAACGAAACCCTAATGTTCTATTACACTTTATGTTACACATTGGTCTAGGGTAGAATTTATCATTTTCCCAGATGCTCTCCTTATAACAAAAATACGCTCAATACGTCATAATAGACCCTGTACACAATTTTGAACCATCGGAATTTAATTTTGACCACAGGTTGACCGCGTTGACTCGTCAAACTCGTCAAATTCGTCAAACTCGTCAAACTCTCTGATTTGGCGAATTTATCAATTCTGAACCATGAGCATATCAATAAACACTCCGTATAACAAATTTGATAGGTAGAAAACAATCGGAGCTAACTGAATTGAACACCTTATTTTGTTTAGCAATGCATGTTCCCCCAAACGAAACCCTAATGTTCTATTACACTTTATGTTACACATTGGTCTAGGGTAGGATTTATCATTTTCTCACACGCTCTCCTCACAACAAAAACACGTCTCAATACGTCATAATAGACCGTGTACACAATTTTGAACCATCAGAATTTAATTTTGACCACAAATTGACCGCGTTAACTCGTCAAACTCGTCAAACACGTCAAACTCTTCAAACTCTCTGATTTGGCGAATTTATCAATTTTGAACCATGAGCATATCAATAAACACCCCGTATAACAAATTTGATAGGTAAAAAACAATCGGAGCTAACTGAATTGAACAAATTATTTTGTTTAGCAATGCATGTTCCCCCAAACGAAACCCTAATGTTCTATTACACTTTATGTTACACATTGGTCTAGGGTAGAATTTATCATTTTCCCAGATGCTCTTCTTATAACAAAAACATGCTCAATACGTTATAATAGACCCTGTACACAATTTTGAACCATCGGAATTTAATTTTGACCACAGGTTGACCGCGTTGACTCGTCAAACTCGTCAAACTCAGAAACCCCAAACATCAAACCCCGAATGCGTGTTACGACTTTGACCAGCGTTATAAGTTTGACGAGTTTGATTAGTTTGACGACTGTATTTACAATATAATACACTAGTGAATTAGTCCAAATATGAATTCATAATGTCATTACATGCACGAACATAATATTATGACTCATACGTCTGTGACATCCTTGACGTACTGACCGAACCTACCGAACATGATTTTCTTTTTCGAGACTCACCAGGTCCAGAAAATCGGTTTTGTTTAGGCCTTCCACTTACCCGTTTTTCTTCCACTATAGGCGGCAATACCACTACATCTGCAATGGAAGATGGCAATTTCCAATCACAACAATCAGGAAACGGGTACACAGTCTCTTGGTAAGCCATATGCCATGTATCTCGCCTGTAGTATTCAGAACAAAGTTCGTATATCATATCGCCTTTTCCGATCATATGTGCTACTGCAATTGCATGACTACAAGGATACCTATCCACATCAAACATTTTGCAACCACATGTTCTTTCTCCAAGATTAACCAAGTGTCTTCTACCCTTGTCATCCCTCACTTCAAACTCGCCAGTAACACCGTTTAGTTCTTGAACGTCAAATGTACATGCCTTCTCGTAACGTTCATGTAGCTCTTTGTAAACAAATGGTGTTAACTTTTGAGATTCATCAGAACTACCTACTTCTAACATGTGCCTGTTAAACCATTCAACTGTCTTTCCGAGACAAATATAAAGTAAACTTAGCAATGGATACTTTTTTGCCTTCTTCAGTACGGAGTTTATCGATTCGGCCCCATTGGTTGTTAACATGTTGTACATTTCACTCTTAAATTTACACCTTGCCCAATTCTCAGGTGCAAGTTCTTCCTTTTGCATGTACTCAGCCACTTTGGGATATCTACACATTATGAGATATATTCACATTAATAAAACCAGTCAAACTCGTCAAACAAGTCAATCACACTAACCACAAGAAACATACCTGCTTTTTAGATCATCGTATAGGTATTCAAACTCATCAATCGTGTAGGCTGCTGCACATTTAAAGAACAATTTAGAGACGGTCTCACCATTTGAACTCTTTCTTCTACTGCCTCTATTAACGTGCACTTTTAAATTATGCGCTATGTGCCTCACACAAAAGTCGTGTTGTGCTTGCTTGTATACTTCTCTCGCAACTTTGATTATGCTTTTATGTCGATCAGATAGCACAACTACATCAGGACCATCCGGTATTACTTCGCTTAATCTTGTCATAAACCACAACCATGAAGCATCCTTCTCTCTATCTATCACTCCCCACGCTAAAGGATATTGGTGATGATCACCATCTTGGGCGGTTGCCACAATCAATGCTCCCTTATATTGGCTCGTCAGAAATGTTGCATCAACAACAACCACTTTACACATATACTTCCATCCTTTGATAGTTGCACCCAAGGCGATGAAGAGGTATTTGAAAGTTTTTTATCATCTTCAAACTGAAGACCCGCTATAGTCCCAGAATTCCTTTCCGTCAACATGTGCAACCATTTCTACGAGTTTGACCAATTGGACAAAATGGTCACTTTCACCAATGTGACGAGTTAATTTGACCGGTTTAACTGATATATATATATATATATATATTACATTTGAATCATCTATATTATACAAATACGAAAATTAAAAAACCCTAAATACCCAAAATATATATCGGCTTTAAAAAAACTTACCTATTAACGAGATCTACGTTTATTGGATGAGTTTCTTGGAGATTTCACTTGTTTCTCGCAGCAAATTTGCCAGAAAATCGCGCCGGAGAAGAGACATTCAAGAGAGAGAAGAAGAAAAACTCGAAGAGAGAGAACGCGATGTATGGCGGGAGACAACAATAAAGAGGAGAGAGAAAATGGGGTAAAAAGTAGATCTATATTTTATTTATTTTAGTATATTATAATATTATATAAATAAAGGAAGGGTATTATAGGGATTCTACATTTATAAGGGTATATCTGATGTTGCCGTTTTTTTGGTACTGTGCGAGGGTATGGGCTGTAACTAAAATCGACATTTAATGGTATTTTTGCAATTGCCCCCTAGCAAACACCAAAACAGCGACGAAACAGACGAAAAACAATAAGAAACACCAAAATCTCGACGAAACAGACGAAAAGCAATAAGAAACACCAAAATCCCAACGAAATAGACTAAAAATAGTAAGAAACACCTAAACCACGAAATGACATAAATGAGAACATACGATACCTCAACAAATCGACCAACCACACACACAAGAGCCGAAATCGAGCGTTAATCGACTATTTTTTGCCGGAAATCAAGAGAAATCGGTCGGACTGAAGCTAAGGAGCAAACCTAGATTCTCCCTTTCAATCTCCCTCTTTCGGCTTTTGCTCTGTCGCCAAGCTCTAAGAAAATGGGAATTGATCGATCTCATTTATAAATATTACAGACCCGATTTGAAATAAAACCGGATGATCTGGCATTTTATTTGATGTGGCGGAATGTGATGACATGACATTTCGGTTCATTGACGTGGCATATACTTGACTAATACGAAATTTCCACGTGGTTGACTTTAACAGAACTTTCACGTCGTTAGAACCTATGGGTTTATTTGGAAGAAATTAATGCATTTATGGTTTAATCTGTTAAATTAAAAAATCATGTAGTTTTGTAGCACATTCTGCAAAATTCATGTATTTTTGTGAGATTTTTCCTTTTTTCTTATAATAATTCTTTATTACATTTTTTACTTTGTCAAGTTCTTTAATAATGTCTTGTTATAGCTATTTGTTCTATTATTTCTTTAATTTATTATTTTAACTTTTTAAAATTTTGTTTTGCTTCTCTTTGTTTTTTTCTTATAGATATTTGATCCGATTCTTATGAATATCCCCATTCATCTTCTTGATTCAATGTTTCTATTTTTTTTGGTTAAATTTCATAAAGCATTTCATACATTTCTAATAGCAATATATCTATTTCACTAATGAAGTTCTATTCAAATATATTACTAGTTTTTGTAATTGTTGTTCCTAAATATATATATATATATATATA